CAGTGACAACAGTGACAACGGTGACAACAGTGACAACAGCGACAACGGTGACAACAGTGACAACAGCGACAACAGTGACAACAGTAAGAACAGCGATAACAGTGACAACAGCAATTAAATGACAACGGTGACAACAGTAACAACAGTGACAACGGTCACAAAAGTGACAACATCGAGACTTGTGACAAGGGTGAAAACGGTGACAACAGCGACAACGGTGACAACAAAGAAAACAGTGACAACAGTGACAACAGCGAGAACAGTAACAAGAGGGAGAAGGGTGACAACGGTGACAACAGTGACAACAGTGACAATAGCGAGAACGGTGACAAGAGTGACAACAGCGATAACAGTGACAACTGTGACAACAGTGACAACGGTGACAACGGTGACAACAGTGACAACAGTGACAACGGTGACAACAGTGACAACGGTGATAACGGTGACAACGGTGACACCAGTAACAACAGTGACAACATCGAGAACAGTGACAACGGTGAAAACGGTGACAACACTGACAACGGTGACAACGGTGACAAAAGCGACAAAGGTGACAACGGTGACAACAATGACAATAGTGACAACGGTGACAACGGTGACAACAGTGAGAACGGTGACAACGGTGACAACAGTGACAACAGTGAGAACGGTGACAACAGTGACAACAGTGACAACGGTGACAACAGTGAAAACGGTGACAACAGTGACAACAGTGACAACGGTGACAACAGTGACAACAGTGACAGCAGTGACAACAGTGAGAACAGTGACAACAGTGACAACAGTGACAACAGTGAAAACCGTGAGAAAGGTGACAACAGTCACAACAGTGACAACGGTGACAATAGTGAAAACGGTGAAAAAAGTGACAACAGTTTCAACAGTGACAACATGGAGAACAGTAAGAACGGTGACAACATGGAGAACAGTGAGAACGGTGACAACGATGACAAATGTGAACACAGTGAGAACGGTGAAAACAGCGAAAACAGTGACAACAATGAGAATGGTGACAATGGTGACAACAGTGACAATAGTGACAACGGTGAGAACAGCGACAACGGTGAAAACAGTGACAACAGCGACAACAGTTAGAACAGTGATAACAGTGAAAACAGCAACAACGATTA